AAAAAAAAAAAAAAGAAGTAAGTTTACAGGCAAAATGCTATTTAGACAGAGGTGGCAGCTTTAGTAATACTTCCATTTGAAAACTTGTCTCCCACTGAGATGCTGAAAGCGTGTGTGAACTCTCTCTAGCCAGATGACGTGTACTACTGTGGGATCAAGTACATCAAAGACGATGTCGTCTTAAATGAGGCTTCCCCTGATGCCCCGGCTGCTCACTACCAAACCATCGAGGAAAACATCAAGATCTTTGAAGAAGAGGAGGTGGAGTTCATCAGTGTACCTGTCCCAGAGTTTGCAGATAGTGACCCTGCCAACATTGTTCATGACTTTAACAAGGTGAGTCAAGTGTCAGGACTGCAGAAATCCTCTGCTTCTTCAGCGTCCCGCTTTTTGTTATTTTAATTTTTTTATTTGCCTGTTTATTTACACACTGGAACTTTTCTTTCTCCTAAGCTGCAGGAGAAGCCAGCATCAATTGATTGGCTTTGGTTTGAATATCTGAAGCCAACCTGGGGAACCTGTGTTTCTCCCATCTGGTTAACTTTCCCCTAAGTTGCTCTTAATCCCACCTCATGGTTCTCCTTCCTTTGCTCATAAATGACTGTTCATTTTCAGAAATTGGTCATTTTAATTCTGTGTCATTTTGTTAATCTCTTTGAATTCTCCTTTACATTTTCTTCCACCTTGTGAAAATTGTTCTACAGTACAGAAAAGTTGGAGTGAAAATACAGTGAATAACCCCTAAAGTCTCCTACCAGGATCTAAAATTTTGCTGTATTTATTTCTTCCTCTATCACCTTACCCCTAAGTGCTTCAGCCTTATTAATGAGTATGTTTCCTGCAGAGCCACATAACGTTACCACATTTGAGAAAATTAACATAACATAATGCGTAACACCTAGTTAATGTGGCTATTTCTCTGGAATTGTTTTTCCAAAGCAGGATTCAGAAGTTCACATATTGCCTGTAGTTTTTATGTATCTATAAATTTGCCATTTTGAATATTCATCCATACCGCTATAATTAGGTCTGCAAACATTTTGTACTTCTGATGAATATCTAAGTGGGGCTTTTTGTGAGGTTTGGTTTTTTTAATGACTACTTCAGATGTTTTAACATTTTGAAATGTGTAGGAATGGTTGACAAGTAGATCTTATTAAAATAGCCTAAATAGTTTTGAAACCACATTTTCTATATTTTTTTACATGTTGACATATTATCAGATATTGCTTCAATTACTTCAGATAATATATTTTATCCAAAGAAAGTCATATATAATACACTAGCACATACTATTCACTGTGTTGGGAGCTTTTTGCCTATAATTTGCAAAGAGATTTCTCTCTTTCTCTTGGAGCTGCTAATAGATTCGAACCACCAGAGAAGAGCAGCCTTTGCATTAGCAGCACCGTAGCACACACTGAACTCCTAAAATCAAAGTGTTTGCTTGGTTTAATACATTTTAATCGCAAGAGAAATCCTGTAGACAGCCTTTGTTAACTGAGGTTTGTCAGCTGAACCAGAGCACAAAAATAATCCATTTAAGTGACTGTTCTAATTCTCCGAGGATGGTAGTAAATGGTACATGCATTGGAGAAGAGTTAGTCATTACATAAAATGAGTGAGTGAGGTAACTAACAATATCTCCTAATCAGATGATAGGTTATTTGCAGTTGATTTTAACAGTAAATGTTGACTATTTATGTATAGAAACAAGGCTCTCCTATCAAAAAAAAAACACCTGTGGAGTCAGAACTGACTCTTGGCCGACCCTCCATTGGGTTTCCAACAGTAAGTTGCACGAGAGGAGATTCTTGTCCCATGAAGCCACTAGTGGATTTGAAGGGCCAAGAGAGGTGTAGCCTTTGGGGTGCCAGTACAGCTAACTCCCTATAGCCTCCCACCAGAGCTCCCTTGTTACTCAAACAATTTTTTCACTCTGTTTTCTAATTACATTTATACCTATCCCACCAAGTTCTTGATTTATTGAAATACAAGAGAGATTTATATGTTCCAAAGCCTACTCATTTTCGCATTATTGATGCATGTTATTCTTAATAATCCAATTACTGTGTGAATTGGTATTAATCTAAATACATCTTTCTTTCTAGAAACTCACAGCTTACTTGGATCTGAACCTGGATAAGTGCTATGTGATTCCTCTGAATACTTCCATTGTCATGCCACCCAGAAGTCTGTTGGAGTTACTCGTTAACATCAGGGTATCAGAGTTATTTGCTTATTTTTAATTAATGAAGCTGTTAAAGTATCTTAGAATTCCCTGTGAAAATTAGCCTGATGGAGGCCGTCTTACCAGACATGCACCCAGTGATTTTATAAAGAGGAACTAAGACTTCAAATCTTAAGAACTATTTTGTATTGTGGTTTTTGCCTTAGAGATTTTTTTCTTTTTTAATGTTTTTGGTTTTGAAATTAAAATATATATAAACATAGACGCCAACACACATTGGATGACAAACAAAGGAGGGCAAATGTTTTCTTAAAGAGTTCTTAGGATATTTTCTTAATTGCTTCAAAGGGCCAAAAAGTAAATATTGGGCTTTTAGACCTTCAGGTCTTGTGGCTCTCACCTCTGTGCTATGAACAGTATGTCAAAGGAATGGACATGGTTGTGTTCCTGTTAAACTAGACAAACAGACAAACAGGTAGTAGTTTGCTAACCCTTATGCTAAGCTTTTCTAAGAGGTTTGTTTTCTTAGTTTACTTATTGTACGTTTTAGGACATTCATGTAATACATTCTCTTCTGTGTGTAGGCTGGGACCTATCTGCCTCAGTCCTATCTGATTCACGAACACATGGTTATCACGGATCGCATTGACAATGTCGACCACTTGGGATTCTTTATTTATCGACTCTGCCATGACAAAGAAACATACAGACTGCAGCGCAGAGACACTATTAGAGGTAATATTTTTTGTGTTGCGGTGTTGGTTAAAAAAGTTCATTATTTTGTTTCATTATGTTTAACTAGATTTCATTGACAGCTAGTCATTTTTACCATGTGGCCTGGGATGAAAAGGGTCACTGAATGAATCACTTTCTTTCTGAAACTGGGAAAGAAAAGGTCAGGTGTGCAGCATCATTGCCGGGAAGTGCTGATGGTCACCCCAGCCAGTTTCCCCCTCCCACTTTGGTTCAGCCGTTGTTACAGGCTTCTCACTGTCCCAGGTCATGGAGGGAGCTCCTCAGGAATCGGCTTGGGGTTTGCAGTCTGAGCCCTTGGTCTTTTGGATAACGTAAGGAATTTGAGTTGTTAAAAACATTGCCACAACTAAGGTTTTCTTTCACTTCGCCAGCTCACTCTGCCTTTGCATTATCACTGTAAAAGTAGGGATGAAAATATCTCCCCATTTCTTTCAAGGTCCTCATAACAATAAATAAAAGTACATACAACGGCTTTTCAGAAAGTAAAATTTGCCGTTCAAGGGCATTGAGAGAGGATTTCTTGGGATTAGGACACTTAGTAAAACTACTCCCCTGGCTTTTTGTTCACTGATACTTCGCCCACTGCCATCGTTTCCAGATTGTAAGTTGTAGTCACAGGCCTCCCCATCTCTCTCCAGTGGAGCTGCTGCAGGATTTGCATTCCTGGACACAAGGCCTTTGGTTAGCAGCCTAACATGCTGCAGACTGTGCCACCAGAGCTCCAAGGCTTTCTCTTGGCTCCTTGACTCACAGTTTCCCACCTTGAGCTGCTAAGTTACCTGACACTGACTTCCTGGTTCCCTATACATAAAATTTGTCCTTTTTAGTGTTCACTTGAGTTTTGACAAAAGCATATATAGTGATGTAATCATCACAGTTAAGGATTAGACTGCTTCCAAGTACCCTCAAATTAAAATACTTGTAACTACAGGCAGTCCACAAGTTATGAACAAGCTCTATTCTTAACTGTGTGAAACTAATTCATAGTTCAGTTTGGCCAAATACATACATTTCTTATTTAATCTTACTTTAGTGCAAGAGAAAAGAACCGTGGTGGTATAGTAAGTTAGGTGTTAGGTTGGCATGATGAATTACGTGTCAGAGGGTTGGCAGTTCAAATCTTCAAGCCTACTTTTGCAAGAGAAAGAGAACTCAGTCTTCACTTCTAAAAATTTACAGCCTTGGAAACTCAATGACATTCGAGATTTGGGGTTTGTTCATGAAAAGACTCAAACCCTTTTCAGTGATAAGCTGCATATACAACAAGTGAAGGCAGGTATGATGAAAAATTTACTGGGAGTAGAACTTGATTCAGGACTCTCTGATGGCTTAGTGAATTAGAAGTTGCACTGCCAACCCAAAGGCAGGTGATTCAAATCCACCAGCTGCTCCACAGGAGAAAGATTGTCACTCTCCTCCCATATGTTTTATGGTATGGCCTCTGGAGGGTCAGCCCACTGGAGGGTCAACTGTGAGTCAGTCCAAATATGAAGGCACCTGACAACAAGGGGTTGATTAACTGTATAACAGTTAAGAACAAATAGGAGTTGTATGTAAGTCAGATGTCCTAACCCAGAAGCCATCTGTATCTGTGTGACATTAGTGTTGCTAAGATATCTTAAGATACTTGGCTCAGAAAAAGGATGACAGTTTTCTCCAGTATGAAAAAAATTCGAACTATCATATATAGCATATTATGTTTATATCTCAGTATATGTTTAGATCTAAATAATTAAAGATTTATTACTAAAGAGCTAAAAATGAAAACATTTTCCCCCTCAAACAGGTTTGCAGAAGCGTGAAGTCAGCAATTGTGCCACAATTCGGCATTTTGAAAACAAATTTGTTGTGGAGACTTTAATTTGTTCTTGAAGAGTCAAGAAGACACTCTGAGGATTTAATTCAACAGCATAACCCCATTCTTTGTATTTTGTGCAGTGATTATTTTTTAAAATCTTTCATGTAAGTAGCAAACAGGGCTTGCTATCTTTTCATCTCATTAATTCAATTAAAGCCATTATCTTTTAAATTTTTTTTTCTTTTCAAGTGTGGTGTCTTTTCTGTTTGAATTAGTAATTGTATGAAATCATAAAAAATAGTACATTTCACTATAGATCTTAGGTATTAGGAACAGTTAGACTTTGTTTAAATCATTTATGCAGACTTTTTTTAATTTTAATTATGCATCTTGGAGAGAAGGAAAGATTCTCTAAAGTATAATCATCTATCTACATATATATATAT